TTCTTGGGTCTAGTTTGGTTGATCCTATATAGAGATGATGGCCAATGGTCTCCTTTTGTCCCCTTCTTATTGAAGCGATGGTTCCAAGTCCCTGATTGACAGATTGGATATAGGGTTGGCAAAGGGCAGTTCAAAGGTGTGTGCACTGGTCAAACACACACCATAGGTCTAGCTTTATTTAAAGGTACATTCCCATCATGGTTAGTATCCCACATCCCACGGGTACCCTCTGATTTAAGGTAGAGCCTTAGAAAAGAATGGCTTTAGTTTGATAACAGCAGTACACAAAGGGTACTAATAATGAGAAAAATCTTTCCCAGACAATTCTGGACCTTTTCTTCAAGTGACCATAGCCCAGTCATTAATAAGAAACCCACGTCCTTCCAGTGACTCTTGACCTCTCATAGTTTCCTTTAGCCCATTTTGGGAAAAGGTGGATTTCTATTGTGCTCGTGTTTCCTTCTTTCTTTATAAGTAAGCAAATAGCTGACCACTGAGGGAAGAGGATCACCCTTTGACCTTGGTCTCTGATAATGCCAAGGAAACTATGAGAGGTCAAGAGTCCCTGGAAGGAAGTGGGTTTCTTATTAATGACTGGGCTGTGGTCACTTGAAGAAAAGGTCCAGTATTTTCTGGGAAAGATTTTTCCCAAGACTAGTGTCCTTTGTGCACACTTCTCTGTTTTTACCCCCAGCTGCCTAACAACCTTCCTAATTTCTGGATCTCACGTATTTTTACATCTCATTGTGCGATAGCCGCTTTCTGAAGTGCAATAATCGTCTTATGACTTGGGATGGGGCAAATGCTCTGAGCGTGAGCCTTCATGCCACGGTGCCAGGTGGTCTTTCCTTTCCTCTCTTTGGTTCTAGCCTACATCACCTCTAACCTGTCCCACTTCATGCATGCTGTGTGCATCCCCTCTTGTGAAAGTGTGAATTCTTTGCTCTATGGGCCCCCAAGTCCATCTTCTCCATCGGGCTGGGAGTCCTATCAAGAAAGGTCATCTTTGCTCTTCCCCATATCTCTTTCAGTTTCCACTGGGTCACTCTACAGATATGCGTGGGATCAAGGACTGAAAGAATCAATTTTGAACCTACAGAAACCTCATTGTCCCATATCCATATCCTTACCCTCATTCCTCTGGAGCGCTAGAGATTCTTGCTTATTTTCCATGGTAGATATGCACATTTGGGGTCTTTATTTCCTGCCTTGATGACATTGGATGTACTTTTATGTCATGGGAGGTATTTCACAATTTAAAAGAGAGATCGTCTGTGTCTGAAAATTACAATTCCTCATTCCTGTGAGGAAACTGTAAAACATGAGCTCAGCTCTCCCTACCCTGATTTGTTACCGGAAGAACCTGAGGGGATCCTCACCTTATTTCCAGAAACACGTGAAACCTGCTTCCAGGCATGGGCCTGGTTTTCAACTATCGTTGTCTTCCATGTAAAAATTTCAGAAGTCAGGATTTCAGCCACTAAGTTCATGGCTTGGAGCTTGAAAATATCACCCTCACGTCCGTCTTAAGAGAGTCTGTTTGAGCTTGTGTGAATGAATCTTGGAGCTTTGTTTTGTCTAAAAACCACTTGGAATATGGATCCAGGAAAACACCAATCTATGTATGCAGTGAAAGAAGGACCCTGCTCCTGGGTAGGGGGGAAATATCTATTGGAGTGTGTGACATTCCTTCCTGGCATGGGTTTTGCACAGATCAATGGTATTCCACTTCTTCTCAGCACTCTCACAAGGATTCCACATGAACAGAAGAGTGGAATCAACAGAGGACGCCCTCTCGAAACGCTATGAAGACATATTGCTCTAGAAGTGGTATCATGAGCCTCCTTCTCCTCCTCCTTAATTTTCTTCATGATTAGCGGCCCCACCAATCAGCATCTTCACCACTAGCAGTTCTGTAGCGTCAGTATCACCACCACCACATCATCATCATCTTCACCATCATCATCATCATCATCACCACCATCATCACCCACCATCACCACCACCACTATCATCATCACCACCACCATCACCATCATCACCATCACCATCATCAACACCATCATCATCATCA